AGGCCTGCTGGCGGGGGGGGGTAGGAAGGGCGCGCAGAGGCACAGCCATCCTCCCGGCGTGAGGGGATTTGGAAACGCCCCGCTCGGTGGCAGCGCCCGCGTCTCGGTGAAAGCAGCCAGTAGGGCGAGAAGGCTGCTTGTGGTGCAAAGGCAGGCTCAGGGCCCGCAGCGGAGAGGAGGAGGTGGGAAGCCGCAACAGTCTCTGCAGGGAGTCTCGGGAACGTGCATATGACATTGGAAGAGGGAAGACTTCGGTCCGCTTAAATTCCTCCCCCCTCCCAATCTAATCCTACTTTTAATCCATTTTAAATATGATCACTGAAAGGGGAATCGTAGGGAGCAGAAGGAGCAAGGTTGCTCCATGGAGGAGAACAAAACAGTAGCTGTGGGCAACCTCAGTGATAGCAGTGTCCTCACAAACAGGTTGCACTCCCACATGGCTTGAAGGGCTAGGATAAAAGTAACACTGTGGATCTAAAGAGACTACCTATAAGATGGAGCCAGAAAGGGAATTGAGGATAAGATGACTTACAACATAAGTTTGAAGAGCATCAAGGAGGTAAGGTTGGCAATAGGGCTTGAAACTGGAACAGTCACAAAATAGGATAAGCAAGCACGTAAGACCCAGGCCTGAGCTCAAACGGAGCTCCTAGGCCTGTAGGCAAAGATTGGGTGTGGAAGTCCCAGGTGAGGCTGATCAGGATAAGCATGGCCTGTTAGTGTACTCAGGACCCTGATAAGGTAGAGATTTCATGCAGCTGTTGTATATTGCAGTGGCTTTAAATTAGTAATTTCTCCAGTTAAGTTTTTTCTTCTGTGAAACTGAAGATTTGCTCTGATAGATGTAGTGTTCTGTTCTCCTTGCCTTTGTGATAGAGCTTTTTTTGATTCTCTTCAACAGAGTGTACTATAAAGCCCATTGAGGGTAAAGAAAGAAGAGTATTACTCTGGAAGTCCTGAGTTAGGGCTGCCAGGGTTAAACAACTAGTAGTAGGTAGTGTTAATGCTCTTTACATTTTCCCTACTGTAGCCTTCTGCTCTTAGTCATCTCCAAATACTGCTGTGCCCTGCTGTGCAGGTGTTCTGTCCCTCCTGTGTGCAGTTACGTAGTGCTTGCTGAACGCACGCATGGGCAGGCTCTGTGCCTAGCAGAGCACACTTGTTGCTGGTGTCTCTGGAAGGTGCCACGTTTGCACTGTTGGGGAAAGAAAAGCAGCTCAGGTAGTGATAGATTGTACTATAAGGTACAGGTGCTGTTGCCTGGAGTGTAGAAGAGGGACATTCAGCTGAGGGCTTGTGAAATATGTGTACTTTGTTTTCAGATGTCCCTGATCTGGCCTGCCCCTGTTATGTATGGAATAACTCGGGGCTGTGTTGCAGAAAGGAAACTGTTTCCAGGAACCCATATTTCTCTCAGTTCCTGTATCTTCCATCTACAGTAAGGTACAGTTGCAAGCTTCATCTGTAAAGCTCAGCACAAGTTCTGTGCTTTTTGTCTGCATCAGAAAGGAAGAAATGCAGCCATTGCTGGTAAACTCTCCTTATTGTAAGTCCTGCTGTCTGACTGAAGTAACTGTTCTGAGGAACCAGGAAAATTACTGGTTGTGTTTGCTTCACTGGCTCGCTTTGCTTCTCACCTGGTTAGTAAGCATCTCCCTCTCCTGCCAGGCCCTTGCTAGTTAGGTCTGTTCCCAGATGCTGCGTGACTGCTTCTTTTCAGAGGTATGTGGCTGTCTAGGTCTGTTCCCCTGCGTTGTGCCTGCAACTGTCCAGATGACCTGGTAAGGCAGTAACCATGTAAGGAAAGCTGTTTTGTTGTTGTATTGCCGAAGGCAGTAGTGGGAGATCTTGGGATCTAAAAAGCAAGCAAATTCAACTGATTGTGCTACTGCCTGTGAATTCCTTTGCTCCCCTCACCTACTCCTCATAGGTCTTTTCAGTCCTTCCCCTTGGCTGGTTCGTTAAGGCTGCAGGGAATGCTGTTCACCTCAGAAGAGAGCGTTCCTGTGAGGGATGTGTGCTCTTCCCACTCTTTGCGTGGCCAAGAAAAGGTGAACAGAGTTGGCACGGGTATTCAAACACTTACTGCATCCTATCGTTGTTACCCCTCAAAAGTACCTAGCAAAAAAGCAATGGCTCTAGAAAGAGCAATCTAGTCCTTTTCTTTGGACAGGAATAAGACAGACCCTTGAGAATAATGCTGCAAATGCAACTGTGTTCACATGCTGCAGTGAATTGAAGGGAGGAAGGTTAAGACTTGTACAGTCAATTTTGGGCAAGGGAGGATGAAAAGTTCCCTCTATTTCCTCGTTTTGTTCTTAATTCATTACAAGCTTTGTTACGCTTTCCCTTAGGCCATCGTAATGTTCTAGGGTATGAATGGGCTTTTGCCTCCATTTGTCATCTGAGTTTTTAGGTGGAGGTTGCTGTAAAGGTTGCTGAAACAACATGCTAGCAGTTGTTTTACTTAAGTTCCTTTGGGGAGGAACATTAATTTCACTGTAGTGACTTAGGATGTTTAAACCCTAAAGAGGTTTCCTGTGGGCTTTGCATTGATTAGATAAAATACATAGCATCCTAAGTGACACTGATGCATATGGAGAAGACCCATGGGTTCCCACAAAGCAGGAAGCTGACTCTGCTAGCCCTTTGTATGATGCTGCAAGGCTTTAAAGAGAGAAAGAATTTAAAAAGCTCATTCCAAGGAGCATGTTGAAATCCTCATCTAACATCAGATGGTTTTGGTTTTAAGTTTCTATTCTGGAAGTTAGAAGATAAAAAAGCTTTACAAGGGAAATAATGTGGAACAATCATTATAAAGTCATATACATGGTTATCCATCTGTTTTATTAGTTCTTAATATAAGTGTATTATTCCATAATAGTCAAAGAATTTGGCTAGAGACTCTAGTTTCCACCTAGTAAATTTTTGTCCCTCACATAAATCCCAAGTGGATTCTGTATTTGCACACTTCTCCAGTGCCCAGTTGTTCTTTATTCTATTGTACATTTTCAGGATGATTCAGATGGGAAAGTGCTGGTTTCTGCTCTGCATACCTGGAGTTTCTCATAAGGCTGTATCATCAGGAAGTATTTTTTTTAACCTAGTACTTCCTTGTTGTGGGAGCAAACACTCTGTTTTTGGAAGAGAGGCACACAGTTTGTGAGCTTAAAGTAGATTTTGGGTAAAGAAAGATTTGGGGATAATGAGAGTTTGACCAACTTCTAAGGTAGAGTTGATTAGTAGGAAACAGTTGGTTCCTTGCTGTTTGTAACCAGCTCTGTTCTAACATTAGCATCCGTGACACAAAGCTGCACACAGAATGTCCTCTGACTGCTTGACAGTCTTGACTGGGAAACCAGATTGTAAGGGATCTGCTTTTGCTCTGCTGGAAGTGCATCAATGAAAGACTTCACTGGTTCTCAGCAAAGAAATGTTCCTGAATGCAAATCAGTGCATGTGGTTTTTCCAAGTTTGCAAAGGAATAGACTGAATTACTTGGGCAGAATCTGTTGCTTTGTCTTCAGTGACAACGTTAAATTGAGTCCTATTCTCTGAACTCCAGCAGTGTCCTTCCACACTTGTTTTCTCTGTACTCAACGATGAGCGTAGTCCTATGGAATCTGGTAAATCCAAGTTAGAAGACAGCTCTTTTGGAGGAAAACCACAGAACATCAAGCTGCTTCACTCTATGTGGAAGAGAACTCCTTGCTCACAGGAGACAGAAGTCAAAGCTTAAGTTAGGTGTGCGCACAAAGCAGGTTTCGCTTGTTCTCTTCCACAACCATTGCTCCCAGTTTCTTGTCACTAGGGATATGGGGTTTCTCCATCACCGTCACACATAACCTTTCCTCGTTGTAGTGCCGTTTCCTCGGCCGCCTATGGAATATACGATTGGGGCCCGTGGGAAAACCGAATTTCCCTCTAATGGCAGGAGGATCTCCCCGCGTCTCTGGAAGGCGGTGTACCGAAAGCAGCCGCCGGCGGGGCCGGGCTCCCGCCCCGTGCGCGGCTCTGCAAGGGCGTCGCGGGTCGCCCTCCGGCA